TTGGTAGCTGTAGTTGGTTATTATGACATTGGTAGCTGTAGTTGGTTACTATGACATTGGTAGCTGTAGTTGGTTATTATGACAATGGTAGCTGTAGCTGGTTACTATGACATTGGTAGTTGTAGTTGGTTACTATGACATTGGTAGCTGTAGTTGATTACTATGACAATGGTATGTGGCATTGGTTACTATGACATTGGTAGCTGTAGTTGGTTATTATGACAATGGTAGCTGTAGTTGGTTACTATTACATTGGTAGCTGTAGTTGGTTACTTTGACAATGGTAGCTGTAGTTGATTACTATGACATTGGTAGCTGTAGTTGGTTACTGTGACATTGGTTACTATGACAATGGTAGGTGACATTGGTTACTATGACATTGGTACATGGTAGCTGTAGTTGGTTATTATGACAATGGTAGCTGTAGTTGGTTACTATGACATTGGTAGTTGTAGTTGGTTACTATGACATTGGTAGCTGTTGTTGGTTACTATGACAATGGTAGGTGTCATTGGTTACTATGACATTGGTAGCTGTAGTTAGTTACTATGACATTGGTAGCTGTAGTTGGTTACTATGACAATGGTAGCTGTAGTTGGTTACTATGACAATGGTAGCTGTAGTTGGTTACTATGACATTGGTAGCTGTAGTTGGTTATTATGACATTGGTAGCTGCAGTTGGTTACTATGACATTGGTAGCTGTAGTTGATTACTATGACATTGGTAGCTGTAGTTGATTACTATGACATTGGTAGCTGTAGTTGGTTACTATGACATTAGTAGCTGTAGTTGGTTAGTATGACAATGGTAGCTGTAGTTGGTTACTATGACATTAATTGAATTTGTGGTACACATACACATCATATAAACTAAATAAATGAAAATATGATTTTTGAATAAAAGACAAAACAATAAAAATAGTAAAAAGCAGAAATACCATAAACTAGACATGGCATAGTATACAGATGAGTGAAATCAAATGTTTGTACAAATATTAATTTGGTACACAAGACAACTATAAACTTGCAACCTGTGGAACTTTGACCAAGTTGTTATACAATAAATGCAGATTACAAAACTATCATGGAATTTAATTATGAAAGCCAGTTGAGGCACATCATCCAGCATTGCCATATATGGAAACAGATTTGAGGTATTTTCTATTTTAGTAGCACTTACACACATATGAGGTCTTTAGGTAATATCACGTATATTGCAAATGTTGCTTTACAAGCACTTATATTGGATGTGCTTTTAAATAGAGCAAATACAAGGATTATTAGGACATATGCATATACTGAGGATAAATAATGTTTAAAAATTAATTTTCCACTCGTGTTGGCGAACACATCTCTTCACCACTTAACCATTTTTTTGTTTGTTCCAATTTTATTTAATTATATCATGTTCGTGTGCATTGTGGTCCCCATGGTAACAAGTCTACGAATATATAGTGCTATGATGACGGTCACACCTATCAACCTCCAAGTATCAAAAAAATACTAACTGTAAATGATTTGAATTTTTAGTTTAATTAAAGCTACCTTCATTTATATTTAAAAATTATTGTGTATGGAATTCATACAAGATACAGAAATGTACATATCAAAAATAGTTTTCATCAATGTACAGTGGCTATGACTACCAGCATCCTTCTGGGGAGCCCCACTCCCTCCCAAATAATGGGTTTGTAATAATCATACTGAAAACAAAACTGGATTGTTTATGTCGTCACCTCAGAATATATGCTTTGATTTGAGGCATCAGTTATACAAGCAGCCTATCGGCTGAGATAGCTCCGCTGTTAGCAATGCACATTTCAATCAAAAAACAGAAGATATCATTAGAAAATGAACAATATGTATAGTATCAAAACAATCAGACTTGCGGTTTTCAACAAGATGTGGAAAATATCACTTTTTACCAAAAATATTCATCAAAATTAGAGATTTAAAGATATCATCATGAAATGAAATAAATCTGAGATAGGTCCACATGTAGTACCTATATATGTAATATCAAAGCAATTGGACTTGCAGTTTTCAACAAGAAGTCGAAAATATGACTTTTTACCAAAAATGACAAAAATATTCACCAAAATTAGAGAATTGAAGCTATCATCATGAAATGAACAAAGCTGAGAGAAGTCTACCCAAGGTACATATACACCAAGTATCAAAGAATTCAGGCTTGTAGTTTTCAAGAAGAAGTCGAAAAAGTAAAACATTGACACGGACGACGACGGACAATCACTCATATGATAAGCTCCGCTCGACAAAGTCGACAGCGGAACTAAAAAAATGCTACCAAATGAAGCTTATATCATAATATGCTACCAAATGAAGCATAGATCATAATATGCTACCAAATGAAGCTTATATCATAATATGCTACCAAATGAAGCATAGATCATAATATGCTACCAAATGAAGTATAGATCATAATATGCTTACCAAATGAAGCATAGATCATAATATGCTACCAAATGAAGCTTATATCATAATATGCTACCAAATGAAGCTTATATCA